GGAGTCCGGCCACATTACCTTCATGATCTTGATGAACTTCAAGAGCAGCCGTTCCCTGTCCTGGGCCTTTTCCTGTAACATGATTATTGACCGGACCCTGCATGGACCAAGGGTAGAAAGACACAGCTGAGCTGACGGGTCCTTGCAGGTCCTCATGGAGGCAGGGCCCGCACGAGCCCACTCCCAGGGAGTGCCCAGGGCCTGCCAGGATCCAGGCCCGGACCCGGGGGTCTTCCCTCAAGGAGCTCTCCGCAGCTCAGAGACACATGGAAGTCCGATGGCAGGTGCCCACTGCGCCACCAAGGACCTTGGGTGCTGCACATGGAGGCAGGGCTTGAAACAGAGCTTTGTTTGACAAGTTTGAGCCCCGAGCACCACTGGGGCAGGAGAAGTGGCTCATGTGGCCTCAGGCTGGCTCAAGGGATCAGATGACACAGGCAGTTAAGAAGTCACTTTTGGCTCAGTGGCTCAGCCTGTAATCCCATGCCTTTGGGAGGCTGAGGTGAGTGGACTGCCTGAGCCCGTGGGTTCGAGACCCGCCTGGGCAACTTGGCGAGACCTCATTCTACAATAAATCAAAATGAGCTGGGCGTGGTAGCGTGCACCTGTAGTTCCAGCTACTTGGAAGGCTGAGGTGGAAGGATCGCCAGAGCCCAGCAGGTCGAGGCTGCGGTGGCTGGGAGCGGCCACTGCACTCCCGTCTGGGTGACAGAGTGAGACTCCAACTCAAAAAAAAAAGAAGTCACTTTTGGCCAGGCACAGTGGCTCACGCCTGTAATTCCAGCACTTTGGGAGGCAGAGGTGAGAGGATCACCTGAGCTCAGGGATTTGAGACCAGACTGAGCAACACGGTGAGACCTTGTCTCTACAGTAAATCAAAAGATCAGCCAGGCATGGTGGCACATGCCTGTGGTTCCAGTTACTTAGAAGGCTGAGGCAGAAGGATTGTCTGAGCCCAGCAGGTCGAGGCTGCGGTGGCCGTGAGCGTGCCACTGTACTCTAGCTTGGGTGACAGAGTGAGATTCTGATTCAAAAAAGAAAAGAAGCCACTTTTGCCAGGCACAAAGGATGGAATCTGTCAGAACCTTAGCAGGCAACCAAAGGCAAGTCTCATCTGAGCCGTGTGTGCAGCAGAGACTTCACAATGACGTCAACTTTCAGAGGTTTTGCAGGGGCCACCACCAAGGTCACTCAGAGGAGGTGCCACACTCTGCACTGCCTCTTCTGCTCCATGAGTGGGCAGCTGTGCTGGGCACTTCGAAGACCACGGCTCTCCCCACCTGCAGCTCTGCCCAGCCAGGCTCCATGAGGTCTCCCTGAGCTTCCTGTACTCATTGAGGGGCTGGTGCCAGAGCCCAGGCTGGGGCTGTGTAGCAGCTTCCATCTGCCTTGGGAACCACCATATCCTATTAGAAGGCGGGAAAGGGGGCACGACCCTATTTGCCTCCAACAAGCAGTCCTCAGAGTGATTAAAACACATCAGACATTCCCCTAGTGGCAACAGTGGATGGGGCACTGCACAGCTGCCAAGCCCTGCCAGCTCTTCTGCTTGATGCCAGGATGCTGTGGGCACTTTGTCGCAGCTTGAAGAGCCAAGTGTTCTGAATTATAAACACACTGTTGGATTCACTTTGCTCTAAGAGAATTGAAGGCTAAATAAAAGTATTAACAGAACCCACTCATTTGCTAACCGTTCTGTTAGGCAGAGTCAGTGACTAGTGCAGGATGGCAAACTCGACTCCCCTCCCCAGCCGCCATCTATGGCAGACATTACTAATCAATTCTGGCACTCTTTCCCACTGAGCATCAGGTGCCCCTTCTACCAGCCCTGCGGGTGGCCCATTATAGCAAGTCCCTGCCCTTATTCTCCGCCTATAGTTCATGATTGTTGATCATGGGGCCCTGAAGAGCTTGGAGGAATGAAAGGCACAGCACCTTCTCCTCTGCAAACAAAAACACAGACCGCATCCAGGCATGCCACCGTCCAGAGCACCAAGGCCTTGCACTGCAGCCCCTACTTACCAGTAGGACATGTTGTTGAAGTGCTCTGTGAACTGGGTCAAGTTGGGGCTCTTCTCCTCATTCTGCTCTTTTGCCCAAAGCAAAACCTCAGGAATCTACAAAAGGAAACAGACTAGATAGAGTTGGAGTCCTCTGGCTCTCCGGCGAGGGTGTGGAGGCAGGGGGCCTCGCATTCAGGGACAACCAGCAGTGGCTTCCTTGGGCAGGGCAGCCCATACCTCGATTTTATAAAAGAGTTCAGCGTCCAGCAGTGTCAGCTGTTCAGCTATTTCATGGCTGTGAAAGTCGTGCAGCGTCCCTGGCCTGGAAGACAGAGGCATGAGAAATGCCATCAGGGGTGGGGATAAGAGCCACCAGGCATAGGGATGCTGGTCAGGGAGTGAGCAGGCTTGGGCTGCGCTTCAGAGCTGAGAGAGCTTCTGTCCGCAGCGGGGGAGTGGAGGCCATGGAGCAGGTCAGCACAGCTGCTCCTTGGGTCTCCTGGGCTGCACACTCCTCCCCGGGAGACACTGTCTGCCTCTCTCCTGCCTCTGCCGGGTGTGCCTGCAGCTCCTGGAACCAGGAGACTGAATTTCCCTCACCAGCTCATGGACAGTTCAGGTGCCAAGGACTCCTGCTCACAGCCTGACCCCACCTCTGGGTGGCCAGCGAGAATAGAGGTGGCACTGTATACACACAGCCCAAATTCTTACAAGAAGTCGATAATCAACAAACACCTATAACTGGAGCTGAAACACACCTCTGGCTGGGACAGAGGGGCAGGCAGCAGGTAGAGACTTTAACACAGGCTCTTAGAATTGTCAGGGTAGCCCAGGGAGGCTGGGCTGGCTGCAGTTCATGACCACCTTGCTAGTGCTGGGGAGACCACACGCTGACTGCAGCCTGGAGCGTGCTCACATCTCCTGCCCAGGAAGCCCCCCCTGCCCTGCCGTCCACTTTGTGGTAACGAGGGGACCCCCCCCACCCATCTCCTGGAGAAGAGGCCCAGCCCCCCGGGAACCCACGGAGCATCCCCCGGCCATCTCACCCGGGGCCTGGGTGGAACCGGGCTGTGAGGCTGTGGGGCCAGGGGCAGAGGGCCAACTGGGGACGCGCGGCAGCGAGGCAGGGCTGGAGAAGCTGGCTCCTCACCTGGCGGCCACCCCCCGGGCTGCCAGGGGCTGGTCGGAGTTGGCACACCTGAGCAGCTTCTTCTGGTCCACCTTGTCCAGGATGTTCTTCCGGAGCACACGTGCCAGGCTGAGCTCCCCGCTGCACACCAGGCGGAAGACCAGCTCCATCAGCAGCTTGAGTATTTCCTCCGTCAGCTCTACCAGGCTGCGGGCCAAAGGTGTGAGCGGAGGCCAGGACCGAGACCCGGGGGAGCCCATGGCCGCCCTCTCCTGGGCCCGGGGCGGGAGCACTCACCAGAGCTCATCCACCACCCGCACCAGCACGAAGAACGTGTTCTTGCTGACACGCTTCTTGAACGTGTCGGCAAAGGGAGAGAACTTCTCGTATGTGGAGTGCCGGTCAAGGAAACAGTCGCGTGGTGGGTGCTGGGAGGGGACGACTGACACCTAGTGACTGTTACCGCCAGCTCACCGTGTCCTAGGAACCTGTGAGTGAGGCTCCGGCACCCAGAGATGAGGGCCCACTAGCAAAGCTGCAGAGCCAGGACTGAGCCCACCGCCTGACCCAGGGACTGCTCCCGACTGTTCCTGCTCCTACCTGCCCCATGGCTTCGCCACACAGTGCTGGCCTGCCTGTCGGGTTTGACGCAAGGCTGCTGTGAGATTCCAGGCATGCTGAGGATGCCTGGCTGAGCCCAGGCAGGGAAAGGTGGACCCAAACCAAGCACCCTCAAGCCACCAGCTCCCCCGGCATGTGTCCAAGCCAGAAGGGCCTCCCTCCACTCTGAGCCTCTACCCTGACACTCTCCTGGGGTCACGCAGGCAGCTCTGCTTGGACACCCTTCTGGGGCTCTCTTGCCTGTGATGCTTGGCTGCTTCCCTTTTCCGGAGCAGTTTGCTCACATCGGCCCCCTGTTCCCAGGGCAGCCTTTCCAACACCCTCCGCCCAGAAGCCAGCTCAGCCTCAGAGGCCCTGGGTGCCAGCTGCAGTGTCATGTTCACCATGGACTCTCCAGACACACCCTACAACTCCATCCTGCCCTGCTCTCCAGCGATCCATGATCTTCCATGTCAGGGGACTCAGGGTGCAGCCACATGCCAGGGACAGCCAGCCTGGCCCGTGGCACAGGGGTCACGAGCCAGCTGGGCCCAGCCCTTGACACACCTTTCCGTGGATACGCCCGAGGCGGCTGAGCGGGGCAGAGGCGGAGAGCCAGGGGTGTGGCCACCCGTCCACCAGGCAGCCACGTGGGGCAGACCTTTCATTTCCCTGAGCCTCCGTTTCCTCAAGTAGGAAATATGGTGACTGTCTACATACATAAAAGGCCGGTCTTAAGCCAAGCGAGAGTGCACGTGCGGATGCACATCTCACCTGACTCCGAGTCCTCGAAACGTGTGAGCGACTGCCCTTCAAGGAGCCGGGCCTGTGACAGAACGTGCTGGGGCCTGAGGCTCTGCCAGCTGGAAATGTCCACATCTGTCCTGAGAGAGGGGGCTACTGAGGTCAGGGCAGGGGAGAAGCGAAGGCGAGGGGGTCTGCAGGAGAGCCTGGGTGCACAGGGTAGGCTCAGGGCACACAGGAAGCAGCAGGAGAGCAGAGAACCCAGAACTTCCTGCCTAGGTGGCAGCGGCTGCCCAGCAGATGGCAGCCACGGGCTATGTGCCGGGAGGCAGCCAAGGCGCAGGGGACCCTGGGCCTCCTGCAGGTCGGGACAGGTGGTCCCCAGCTGAGGAAGGGGCAATGGGCAACAGAAGTAGGTCCTTCCAAGTCCCCCAGGATCCTCTTTGGCCACTACTGCAGGAAGTGACATTCACCAAGGGTGGGCCTGGAGGGGGCTGATCTGACCGAGGGAACAGGAGCCAATTCCAGATGGGGACGTGGCAGTCTGCGGTGGTGTCTGCAGCGGTGAAGGTGACTGCGCCCACCCTTGGAGCTGTTTATTTGAGTCTTGCTCCCCACACACCTGGTACCCCTCGTGCCCAATGTCCTGGAGCCTGTCTCTGGGAAGTTGCAGGTGCCAACCGTGCGGGTCTGCATTGCTTCTGCTCCCTCTTCTCTGGGGGTGTGTTCTTGCTAACTCTTGTTCAGAAGCACCCAGTGATGACAGCTGCCTCCAGGCAGCACTGACTGTGTCCCAGGCACCCTGCATTATTTCACTCAGCCCTTTTACAGGTGAGGGACTGGGGTTCAAAGAGGCCAGGGCCACAGCATGGCCAAGGCGG